GTGCTACCCTTGTCATGCCTTGAACACCTCGTTTAATAAGCGGATAATACATACTATTAGGTTGGCTAAAAAGTAAGTTCGTTTTAGCATACAAATTGTCATAAAAAATTTTCTTGTTCTTTTCAGTCAATGATTCTTTGTGGAAAAGTAGTTCGAAGTTTCCTCTATCACATATATAATGATCAGGATTTTCTATTGTCAGTAAGGACAGTTATGCCTCAACATGGCGAAATTTCCAGAAGCTCAATTCTTTGATTTCTTGAGCTTCGTTTTCATGCTGTAATGGATGTAAAGAACAGCAGTTTGGTGTTTGGATACAGAAGAGTTATCCCTATCCAGTGAACAACAAAAAGAATTGTGATCTGCCATTTTGCAAATGTTTCACTAAAAATACCAAATTTCCTCATATTTGCGCATTATGGGAAAATTGCGATTTTTCACTTCTTTGCGGATTTTTTTCCTGGAAAGATAAGTTTTACTCGAACAGAATATATGCTCCAATACCCAGTGAAGTGCTCTTTTCAAAGATACCAAACATTGGACAAAAATTTGTTTACAGCATTTGTAAGAGCTGAAAAAGCGACCGAACTTATTTATTAGCCCGCCTAATATTAGATTGGCACATAAATTTTGCAACTTTTCCCTTAACTTCCTTCCTATTCGGTGTAGCACTCTCATTCTCTGGCATCATGTAGAATGTGATGTGTGCTGCAAGTCTATGCAAACGGTTCGATTGCTGATAACGTAGTCGAGAAAATCTGACCATTTTCCGAAAACTGCTTAAAAAAGCGAGGTTTCACGGTTCTTTGGCAATCGTGAAGCCGTACGAAACCTGAATCAAACATTCGAAAAAGAATCATAAGCAGCACGCAGCTAAAAGTTGACAGATTCGAATCAGTAAAAAAAAGTGAAATTCAAAGACAAGCTAATATAAGGCGCCTTTGAGAAGAACAAGTCGTATGATTCAAATTTCAAAGGCAATTTCTCAATAACTAAGCTGCGGAAAGTCAGAATTTGCTATAACTTTGCACTGTAGGGTAATCCTATGCAGTAAACACGAGTATCATATTCATTTGTCGCTATAATGCAATTCATTTTTTGATCTCACAAACGAGGCTTTTTTCATGCGAAACGGATCTCATTTTTGTGATCAGCATGTCGAATAACCCTCATAGGCCAAATTTCAGCAAAATCTGACGCAATCTAAAAATTTTCCCACTGTACCGTAAACTTACGTAGCCCTTACATAAGATGGCAAAATTCGGCGAAAATGTCTGCATTTGCAGCTTACAACATAATCCTTATATTGCCAGATGAATGAATGCGCTAAATTCAAGAGACAAAAATTACATCAAAAGTTGCATTACTTACTCAGACAAATCACCGGAACTTCCGCAGGACAAGCCGGATTTTCAAAAGTTCAAACAAAGGACTTTGTTCATCATTGCGAAAATGAAAACGTTGAAAATCGGGACTTCCGCGGGATTTTCATGCCAAACTGGTTGAAAACCGGAACTTCCGCGAGACTTTTTACAAAGCGCTGCGGAACTTCCGAAAAATGCCAGAGGTTCCGCAGCACTTTGTCCTGCCAGAACTTCCGCAGGACTTTGAATGTGTTGTCTCGTGGTGTTGCCTCGCCAACAACTAGAGTGCATTATCGAACATGTTAGCTGTAGTGTAGAGGATAGTAGGTGGGTCTCACAGTCAATAGAGTGAGGTTCAAATCTCGCTTCGGTGTTCTCTTTTGCTGTTGTGGTTGGCATTCTTAGGAACTTCCGCAGCATGTTTACGGAACTTCCGCAAACGCTCTGCGGAAGTTCCGGTAATTTGTCTGAGATAAAACATATACTAAGCCTAGTGCGTATTATATTTCATCTTCAAATGTATTGAACCCGAAGAAAAAGAAAGTATGATAAAGAAAGGGAAGTAAGGAAGTAAGGAAAAATGAGATCCTGAGAAAGAACCAACGGAGTGGTTGGCATTCTTCGCAACTTCCGCAGGACCTCATTTCGGAACTTCCGCAGCACTTTGCGGAACTTCCGCAGGTGACCCGCCGGAACTTCCGCAAACGCTCTGCGGAAGTTCCAGTAATTTGTCTGAGAAGGAATGACAATCAGCATCTCAGATCAAAAACCGATTTTTGCCTAGTGCCCCCCGCTCATCGTGATCCAGATTCATCTAAATGATTTGCAACTTGTGAAAAAAAGGGAACGATCCCATTTCTTGGTTATCAGTGGCGTTCCGGAACCCAAAGGATTGCGCAGTAGCTCGAACGTCAGGCCGATTATGATTGTGTTCAGTATATCTTCGATTTTCTTTCCATTGATTGTGCTTCGATCCACAGGTGCGATAGTGTGAGACTTTTCTCACCCCCTCTTCACCCCTGAGCCGGGATCAAGGTGACCCCCTTCACCAAAAGCCGAGAAAAAAGCCAACAGTAAGGTAAGGTTAAGCAAATGAGATTTTTGTACGTAATTGTCAATGTACAGGAAAGGAGGAGTCTGTTGAAAAAGTGCTTGGTGACGGGTGTGAGTAGTGATTTCTGGAGATTTTCGAGTTTTTGACATGAAAAAATTCATAACTTTTGTAGATGAACATCTTTCACGGCGAGATGGTCACCATCAGAACAGCCTTGTTCTACGCTCTCAGAAAATGTACAGCATGTTTTAGCTCCGTTTAAAAAAGTGCCTGGTGAAGGATGGGTGAGACTTTTATAGTGGGAGTGCTCAAGTACAGGCTTTTTTACCATTGTAAAAAGGCGTCTACTTGAGCACTCCCATTATAAAAGTCTCCCCACCCTTCACCCGGCACTTTTTCTAATGGACCCTAGGCAAAGTATATATTTTCTGAAAGCGGAGGACGAGACGGTTCCAGTGGTGACCATCCCGGCGATGTTCGTCTGAAAAAGTTATGAATTTTTCTATATTAAAAACTCGAAAATCTCCAGAAATCACTAGGACACCCTTCACCCAAACACTTTTTTCAACGGACACCAGGCATTGTATATATTTTCTGAAAGCAGAAAACGAGGCTGTTCCAATGGTTACCGTCATGGCGTACAAGATGTTCATCTTCAGAAGTTAAGGATTTTTCTATCCTAAAAACTCGAAAATATCCAGAAATTACTACCCACACTCTTCGCCAGGCACTTTTTCAACAGACTCCAGGCAAACTATCTATATATATTCTCTAAAAGCGGAAGACAAGTTGGTCTTGAGAACATTCACCTTGCTGACGTTGCTGTTCATCTACAGAAATTACAAATTTCTTCTTTGAAAAAAAATTCGTAAATGCTTAAAAATTGTCTAACTCTTTTCGAAACAAATGTTCTCGCATGCACATCATCTATGGTAATTCCAAAAACAGGCAAAGCTATGTAAAAAAGGGAAAAGGAAATGTAAAAAAAATACAAGGTGCTGGTCAGAAATATAATTGTGCGCTAATCCAGCAGCGTATCACTTCACATTTCAGAAAAAAGACAAACAGTGATGGTAAGGAATTGGAAATTATGAGCTTTGACTGGGAAAAATGATGGCTCCCCCCCCCCCGTCAACATTTTATGATGATTTCTCTACCAAGTAAAACACCCTTCACCCTGGAGGGGCTGCAACCACTGTGACCCCCTTCACCCTGGAGGAATCATTCTCACCTTATCGCACCTGTGCTTCGGTCGCTATCTATCGTCTAGAAAAGCCTAGTGCTCATGATAGGCTTCTTAAAGTAGTACTACCTACTTCCTTTTTTGTTCAGTTAGTGTTGAAAAGAGCACCTTAAATGAGATCCTTTCTTTTCAAATACGGAGTTTATATCCGTCCCTCTCTTTCTTAAGGAAAAGAGGGACAGGAATCGCAAAGAAAGGGAGGGTCATCATAGCACACCCAAAACTACCCATATGTCTGATCCGAGGTCATCGATTGTTTATGGTTTTAATATTGGTAGTGGTGATGTTGTTTCTTCTTGCTTAGACATCCATAGGGGTAAGCCTAGCCCTTATCAAATCTGATGTTTCGTTGCAAACAGCTCCTCAATCGGTGTTCTAGCAAATACTCGTTCAGTCCTTAGGAGTATCAATTATTTAAAATTTAACTAAAGCAAATGTAAGCCCTCCCTAGTTGCTGTTACAGAGTTGGTTCAGCGATACATTTGGTCATAGTTCTCTTTTCGGTAATTCTGCTCCTAATTTCAATTTTTCGATGCGATTGTGTTTCAAAAAGGAGTGGAGGTGTGATGTTTGTAATCCTCAGACAAATCACCGGAACTTCCGCAGGACAAGCCGGATTTGCAAAAGTTCCGCAGGACTTTGTTCATCATTGCGAAAATGAAAACGTTGAGAATCGGAACTTCCGCGGGATTTTCATGTCAAACTGGTTGAAAACCGGAACTTCCGCGAGACTTTTTACAAAGCGCTGCGGAACTTCCGAAAAATGCAAGGGGTTCCGCAGTACTTTGGCCTGCCAGAACTTCCGCAGGCTTTGAATGTGTTGTGTCTTGATGTTGCCTCGCCAACAACCAGAATGCATTATCGAACATGCCAGCCGTAGCGTAGAGGATAGTAGGTGGGTCTCACATTCAATAGAGTGAGGTTCAAATCTCGCCTGGTGTTGTCTTTTGCTGTTGTGGTTGGCATTCTTCGGAACTTCCGCAGGACCTCATTTCGGAACTTCCGCAGCACGTTTACGGAAATTCCGCAGGCGACCCGGCGGAACTTCCGCAAGCGCTCTGCGGAAGTTCCGATGATTTGTCTGAGTATGTGCCAACCTAATGAATCACTTGTGTAAATGCTACGTTCGCATCTAACTTTTTTTTCAAATTTCTCTCCCGGCGGAACTTCCGCAAGCGCTCTGCGGAAGTTCCGATGATTTGTCTGAGTATGTGCCAACCTAATGAATCACTTGTGTAAATGCTACGTTCGCATCTAACTTTTTTTTCAAATTTCTCTAACTCTAATTTTTAGCCTGTCACCAGTATGACACTTTAAGCTGAGCGGAGGTAAACATAGCTTTCTGAATACACAATTGCATGTTCCTATATGGCCCAGATAAACACAATTGCATGTTCCTATATGGTCCAGATATACATTTTGCATTTAGAAGTACACGTTCATGAACAAAAAAAGTACAGCTGCATAAAAGGCCAGCATTTACTATCGTTCTATTTTTTGAAAAATCTTAGATGTGCTTGGCAATGAACTCTTCAGATCCTGCAAGCATTTGTCCATATCTAAATGTTGTAGTTCCAGCCGCGATGTCAAAGCGAAGTTTCCTTCACCTAGAAAATAAGATGATCTTTTTGTATAGAAGTGGCTGGATAATAATACCAACCAATGTCTAGGCTGATTTCATTGGGATCAACACCACAAGCGCGCGATATGCGAACTCCTTTTCCATAGCTGAGTTCCTCGATAGCATTTTTGATTTCCGGCCACAGCATATCCATGATCATACCTGCAAGAGCAAAAATAGCGAATGTTTACTTTTGCCTCGAAAGTAACATACCCCTCATGAGATCTTGCATAAAGATACCCCAGGTTTTTGGAAATGCTCCCACTTCCATTTCTATGTGGGTGTCCAGTAGTTGAACAAGGGTTCTGTAAGAAAATATCTGCAATCGCAGATGTTTAAATCATCTACATTGCCTCAACTATAATCCGAAGCATGTTGGCGAGTGTTCAAAGCTGATCCCAAATCTGTTTTTGCTAGCCCGAGCTTTTGGAGCGAAAAATGAACGGGTCTTGTTAAGAAAAACCGCTTTTTGTGTTTTATGATTTTTTATCGTCTTTGTGTTTTGAGTATGCTTATAGTGGCCAGAAAGTGTACTGCATGTGCTCTGATATTCAGCACTAGATCTTTTCAGCCATTTGGACGATCTTGCTCTAGCTGCACTGCCATTTTTGACCACAAACGCTCATAATTCGGCTTCGATACTCGGCAGATACCAAAAACAGAGGTATAGCTTCTGTTATAGAATAAAGTCCGAAATTTGATTCTGGAGAGTAAACTACAGTAATAATCAATCAAATAAATTGTGTGTTATCTTTTTGAATTCAATGTCCATAGACTAACTTTGTCTCCTTTAGTCTAGAAGTTTTGTCGCACAACAACAATTGCTAGTTACCTCAGGATCCCTCCATCGAATGAAGGCCGCATTTCTGCTTGAACAGTCAGAACGAACGATACAAATACTGAGGTTAAGTTTCGATTCGGATTGACTACTCGGAGATGCACTCGATCACGTCTGAAAGATAAGCTGAAGTTGATGAAGTTTGATACAATATTCAGACTTTAAGCAATGATATTATATTGCAGTCCGCCTATCGCCAGAGTGTATCGTTAACTTGCTCACTCACTTTTCCAGAACAAGTGAAGAGTTGGTGGCTATCAAAGATGGTCTACCTCTAGCTCCAACGTTCACTTGGAAGTAGCATTCCGTACAAAGCGTAGTTAGAAATTCCCTAAAATTCATAATGAATAACAACAAATTCACCATTTACTCCCTCACCTTGAATCTGGTGGTATGACCGGGCTTGTGACCGGTAATTGCTCATTCATCCATTCAAAAGTCCAGTCCACCTAAAAAAAATTGTACTGAACAGAATAGGGGGGCAGAAACCATTTTAACCCGTGAGATATAAAAAGCAAACGTTATTGCTACCTGATCAAGAAGTTCGTTAATGATGCCATCTTCAAGCCAAATGGTTACCAGATCGTCCCCGTTCAACTGTAGATCAAGGAATGTCGCATTAGTTGATTCCTCCAACAGTGAGACCACAGGTGTGTCATTCTATAATGGTGATTAATAAGACACCGAATAGCTCGTAAGCTTCACCATTTGCAGCATTCTGGATGGATGCACAAAAAAATCGAAGTTCGCACGGAGAAGCAATTACAAATCGCATTTTCTGAATGTTCAATAATTCCCTTGCTATAATATTCAGTTTGCTCAGAAAAGCTTCAAATGTTACTTTTTCACTTCCAAATTTGAAAGCAGAATTTTATGTGAAATTTCTCGTACGCTTTTCGCTCCTTCCTTCAAGGAATGTTGAGGATAAAACCTAAACAGACTGATCACATTGCCTCTCCCCCTCCCCTACCTAACCAAAACGTCGACAAATTCTTTCTGGCACACATGAAGTATGAAAGTGCTTTAGTTGCTTTCACTTGTAGATAATTAAAAATTTTGGAAATTATCAAAGAAACAAATTAGCTTTGTGTAAGATGTTTTTGGAGGCACGGCTTTCGCTAATCCTTTCCCTTCACAGAACAAGGGGTTAAGGACCTTGAAAAATTTCGTAAGCACCTCAAACAACTTTTTGGAAAACTGGCTTACGCTCCTTCTCTCGAAAAAGAAATTATGACTGCCCCCCCCCCCCCCCATATTTGAGATATTCTCTGACCGTCACTGATAGATACCTGCAGATTTACTCAAATCATTCAATGACGTATTTTACGTCTGTCAGGGCTTCATGACTTTCAAATTTGTTAGTAAGGCTTAGAGAACGCAAACATCGTTACTCACTATGTCCACCCACTGCAACTGCGCTCGAGCTGTCAGTTGATGTTCATTTACTTTCAAGTTTTTCAGCCTGAAATTCAGCTTCAAAGTTAAAGAGCCGTAAATGTAAAATTTACCTGCAGTAGAGTGTGGTATCATTTTTGGTCACATATCGTCGTAGCTGACTAGGAATCAACTCGTGCACGGGAAATCGCCTCAAAATAAGTGCAAAACAGTTCTATTTCAATTCTATTTCAAACCATTTGAAGTCAGCTATGGCTTTCAATTTCAAACACATTTGTGGTTAAATGAAAAGCAACTGAGAGAGCGTATTGTATAGTTTTAAAACTTGTTTCGAACTTGCATTTATCAGTTCTCCAGACTTTGCGCTTTTCTACTCTTGATCTATAGTGTCAGCAGGGAGCTAATAAGCAGGTAGCAACATCTTTCATGGCGATAGCAAGATAAAATGATAATGATATTCACACAGTCAGGGACAAAAATCTGAAATAGATTTCTTTGGCCTCCTACACAGTTGCGCACCAAGAATCTAAACGCACCAGGAGTCTACAAATAAGCTGATCAACAGCCATAGGAACAAAACTTGAAGAAAGCTGTAATCTCTCAAAGACGAGGCTTTCGAAGGAAAAACTTTCGCTTTTTGAAGCATAGTTTTCTTCCCGTTTGCGATATCAGTATTAGCTGATGCGCGTTAGGTTTCGGAAGGCTTACTGCTTCTGATGGTTTAAATTACTAGGTTGATGCAAAAGTAATGGCCGATTTTCCAAGCCTTTTTTCAGGGCAACTTTTTTCCATCAATACTTCTTCTTTACAATAGACATAGTATACCTTCGCGAAGCTGTTTTCATGCTCTACCTAACGGTTCTTGAAACGGGCTCTCATCCTCAGTTCTTTAAAATTATTGAGCTTCAAATAACCGCATCCAAATTCAGAATTTCATTGCATTCACTTTTCCGGCCAGAATTCAAGCGCGTATCAATGGGATTTGTTCGAAAATTCAGCTATTGTATGTAATAGAAATTGTCTACATTATGCATACTTAACTGCATTTTTCGAAGTTATCCAGACTGAGATGTCGCGCCTAAACATGGGTAGCTGTTGCGGTCATTTTATGACCCATAATTTTCTTCTGAGGAAGTCAGTCGCCGAAACTTTGCTCAATTCTGTAAGCGTAGGGCTAGGACACTTATTAGCCGTTTTTGCAAAAACATCTAGCAGTTCAGTACGTAGAAAATCAGAAAATTTTATATTCCGAACTTTGAGGCAGCTGAAAAAATGTTGTAAAAACTGAGAAATTTTAAACTTCAATTTTTTTTTTATTTCTCGAAAACTTTTTGTCCAAATTCTTTTTATTGTATTTTGTACTACTGGCTTGCGGCTACAAGATAGGCCACTCATCATTCATACTAAGAAACTTTGAAGGAAGTTATGAATTGTCAAAGACAAGATTCTAGAAGAAAAACCTTTTTTGTCTTTTAGTCCGTATTTCTCTTCCCCTTTGTGGTGTGAGTATAAATGAGTATGCGCTGAATTGCGAAAGGTTTGCTGCTTCTGGGGATCTTTGCCGCATTCAGAAATGTGGATATTTTAGAAAGTTATAGCACGTCAAAGTGAGAATTCGCAAATCGGCCATTCCTCTTGCATCAACCTAATACATTCAAAAAAATGAAGTTGGACAAAGTTGTAGCTTTTCAAAGTAAAACTGTGCGAAATGGACATTTTTTTTACACCAACCTAATATTTTTAAATGATAAGTCGTAAAAAAATTGAACTTTATTTATTTGTATAAAGAAAATTCTTCGGAGACTTGGCTACAGCCACGCCCCTTTTTTGGGATTTTGCGCCCGCCAAAAAATTTTTCGGAGTGCGTCACTAAACCCACGCACCTTCATCCGAAAAAAAAACTTTGTCACCTTTTCCCCCGTAACGGAAATCCTGGGTGCACCAGGGGGGCAAGCTATTAATTCTTGAGGGCATAACAAAAAATTTTCTGAAGTACGTGACTAACGCTACGGTCCTATCCGAGTTTTGAACCCCGAAAAGAATTGCTCTGACCGATACTGCTATGATTATACCAGCAGAACAAGAGAAGAAAACTGCTTACAAGACCAAAATTGAAAATTCGTTGGCCTCTGAGTGATATCTTTATCGCCTTTCTAGTCTTTATCAAACTGTAGTTAAGGTTTGATAGTGTTTGTGAAAATAGCTGTGAAAATAGCCGAAGCAGACAGAAAGAAGGGAAGTGACGGAAGGTAAAGAACGTGAGAATGAGAGTGAGTTACCAAATTTTGCAAGGCTGAAAACAGTTGTTAATAACCAATTACTTTTTGATTTATGCCTTGCATATAAGAATTCTGCAGGATTAACGCGACTAAAATTGTAGATAAAAAATTATATAGTGACTTGCATGAAAAACTGATTTGAAGGATGAAGGGCAAAGCGCGACACTGGCTACTCCTCAGTGAAATTTTTGAGAACTCTTTGGCGACCTTTTTACACATAGAAAAGTAAGGTTTTATATCACGAAATTTTGTTGCTATGACATTTTGATTGATCATTTTTGATGGCATAGTAGTGAAAAAAAAAGGTTGCAACGAAAATTTAGTCAGAAATCAATTGGTCGATCTTATTTTGATTGTCTTTTTCTGGATGACTGAGCTGGATGATATTCGTCCGTTCGCGAGTGTAGGTACCCTGCTGATTTTGCGCGGATCGTCCTTGACCGCAACGCCTTTGTCTTGCACAGGCCGTTTTAAAATCACTTGGCAAATGGTACCACAACAGGATGAGTACAATTCACTCTGAAAATCTGTGCAGGGCTGATCACTCACATAACATTGCTTGCTTCCATGCTGCCAATTTGTGTGCGAAGAGCATTGCATAGAACTGAATCCAACACTGGTCGAACTAGCGAAGCAATTGCTGATACACCCTGGAAACGTAGAAGTCTTTATTCGGAGTTCATTTTATGGCAATATGGACACACTTTATCAACGATCCAGTGTCCTGGAGCTGCTGCAGCTAGTTCCGAACCAATGAGGAGGCAATCTCCCATGGATAACGACGTCTCTTCAACATCAAGCCGAACTTCTCCTCGGTGAAGCTGAATCATTTGTTAAAAAAGGCTGAAGCATTGCCTATTGTGGCATTATACCTCTAATCCAACGTCAATCACTTGTTCTCCCAAAGCAAATGGCCAAAAAACTTCGGAAAGGTTGCCATGGGTCAGCACAGAAAGTCTGGATAAAAATATTTGGTGAACGAAACATATTCTTTCGGCTCGCTCACCGATCAACGACGACGTGAAGGGAGTCGTCATAGAAGACAACCGAAAGGTTTTTGTAAGCGATTCGATTTGTGATGTCGAGATGAGCCAACGAGCCAAGTGATGGGGACTCGCGTGTTTTCAAAGTCAGCTAAATGGAAAAATTTTTTACAAGCACATTGGTAGGGCTTAAGTTGAATAGGTTTTTTACGACAAAGCGAAAGCTGTTCCAAACCAAGCATAGAAAAATAATGGAAAAACTCTATCATTTTCGCAGGTGAGAAAGAACCACAACATCAGTGAAATTTTTAATGATATTTTGTTGCAGACTTCACAGGGTCTATTGAAAATTTTTCATAGTTCATCCTCATCAAGACTGAAGCGGTTAGACAATTAAAAACAATACTGAAATTTTAACGAAATGCAAGTCAGTGAATGCGAGTTGTCAAAAAATGCTATAAGGTCATTATTTTTTGGTTTAAATTGAGGGCAGAAATATCCATGACATTGAATCCTATATCAAACAGTCGCAAATATCTTCTTTATTTGAGATTATGACCATTTCAACAAACTTAGGAAACTCATGTAAACGAAATTTCTGTTTTTCACGAGAAAAATCAAAGCAAAAAATCAATTTTATGTCTATCTTACGCGAACGATCTAAGGAGGTTGTGGCGAATATTGATTCGATGCCCCAAGGAACTGGTTTAGACATTAGAACGGGGGAGTCAAGCCCAATAAGGAGTTGAAGAATATCGATTGATGAAAATTTACAGAAGAAATTTTTTACATTTTGAGATGCAAAAATCTCAGAATAATGGAAAGACACAAAAAAATGAGCAGGAAGCTCTTGATCAGAGTCATATTGTAGGAAAAGTTTGGATGAGCTAATGAGTAGCAAAAGGAGGAAAAAGGCAATGAATTTTATGAGAAAACTTTATTCTTGTTAATTGAGTAGAATTAATGTCCTTGCAAGCAGAACATTTTTCTTACTAGCTGGCGATTACATTTCAATAAGATAAATAATTGTCTTGGTTTTTTATTGCGTATTACACAGTTTTATAGTTGCCTATACGGAAATTAAGAAATGAATGAAATAAGCGAAGATAACTGAGAAGTAAAGAGGACATATTGTGCAAACCTCAGCAATTCTAGGTTCTTGCAGGACTTTTGCAGCCGCATGTCGAACGAGCTGCGAGACAGCCGCGTCGCCAAAAGTGGCTCCCAGCTCAGAGGCAGAGATAAGTGTAAACAGCAAAAAGAATACGGCAGCAGCAAGCATGTTTGCAATCTGATTAGCGTCAATAGCCGATCATCTCACTGGCTCCCCGTACTGTGAACTTCGACGTCAAACAGTAAGAAAAAGCACTGGAGCCGATTTATTTTAGCTCATTCGGAAGAAACGAGTAAGAGACGCGGGGCGAACCAGTAGTGGGTCGGAGGCGGGGGTGAACACGGGTGACGCGCGACTGGCGTGCCGTCTTCGCAGAACCGGGGCAGACGTCGAGCGCAGGGCGGGACCTGCGTTCGCACTCTGTGTCGAATGATGCGTCCGCTGATCGTGCTCAGTTTCGCTAGCCTACTCCAGCTAGCGTATCTCGCACCTGAACGCGACTATCACCCACTTTTGGATGCACCTCCTCATCTGCCCGGAGTTCGCCTCAGGGTATTTCCGTCGGGTATATCCTACTTGAGTCAGGTAGGTACTAGTATACATACTAAGGGGGGGGGGCGATAACATGAAAATTAGCTGGACAGCAGTACGCGTTGCTTGGCCATAATATTTTGAAGTATCTATGAACGTCAAGATAATTTGTTTGAAATTGTAACAGTCCTAGAGCTCAATAGACCCTAATCATATTTTTCAACCCTATCTCCAAATCGGGGAGGAACGTAAGGTTTGCGAAAATGAGAAAATGTGCGGCTATTGCCGTAAATGTGCAGTAAGATTATTTACAGCTATCGTTTATCCTCGTCCTCACATTAACAGTTTGGTTTGACATAATTATTCCTAGACATCTTTTCGCCAAAATCTATTTACAATGTCAACTGAAGTGTAGTTATTTACATTGATCTTCAGAAATATCCCGCACCGTTCTAGCGCAAGGACATTTCACTAACAGAAAGCAGGTTCTTAGATCTGATGACTAATCTTTCACAAATTCTTCAATTAAAAGCAAATACATCAAGTCAAAACGCAAATATGCCAAAATTCCATGTCTTTCGGGTTTTGACACACTCGTGCATCCACCAAAATCATCGAACCTTGAACTTTTTACTTTTCTTTTATTTGATCATCATATTCTCTAGCACATGATATATTTGAGGAAGTATCAGTTCTTTAGGTAGCATCGAACATACTTGCTGATCAGCTACCGCGCATCGTTATTCCTGATGTTGAACATCGCTTACCAGGTGATCAGGGTGCCATTTACATATCGAGGATAAAAATTTCGAGGTAGGTATACCCTGAAGGAGAAGCTTCATAGGTCGGGAACTTCCGATTTTTTCCTTTTTTATTGCATAAAAGACGCGCTGAAGAACGCTCTTTAAACTAGATATCTCAGAAAAATCTCCCGAAGTCTAGCTAATTTTCAAGATATGAAAAATAAGGGTACATTAAGTTTTTCCATCAATCATACCTTTCTGGATAATTCTAATGCAGGGTTGTAGTACGTGTGCTACTTATTCCAATCCTGTCTTCTCAATCTCATTCTCCTTTTCTTAGGGGTACTATCAGACTACAAAGTACGTTTATGAGTTCTTTCAGATCATTTTTAAAAGCATTCGTACCTGTTGGTGCTTAAGCTTTTTGGCTCTGCTACTTCCTGCAAACTTTGCACTCATGTTTTTCACTTGTAAACCGGTTTCCGGGGAGCATTAGTGATTTTTCGGGTTGTCGTTAGTTCTTGTAGTAAGAATGAATCATGAATTGGTACGGTCACAATCCAATCATTTCTAGAGTGCATTTATACGAATTTTCTCACTCATATTCTAGTTTTGTAGCCGATTAAATGTTTTTGTTTGGAGCCAAATTAGTTCTGTGTCACCCTCACCCTCCCTCACCTCCCCCCTCCCCCCAAACGTCATCCTCTCGTTCCATTCCTTTCCTTCTAATCTATTTACTCTAATACATGAGGGTGTATGTCCTATATAGAGCACCAATGATTAGCCGAACGCGCAGATTTCGATCTGGTTTTGGCATTGCCACAGATCGTGTATTAGACAGTGGTTTGTTTATATGCTCTACCCAATGCCAACAGGAATATCCTGCTCTCCAAGCGCGTTTCTTGGTAGATCACTTTCTCAGGATCACAACGCCTTTCCAACACACACATTCGTGCGCATACCGACCATTCTCACTTATGGGGCTAAGTGACGAAAAAAACTAGAAGTCCGTCGCAATGCCGGCTTTATGCACGGCTCCCCCGCTTGCAAAAAAGTGAATCCGCCCGGCGCTTGCAGCTTGGAAGTGCAATAATATCTCTAATATCCCTGCAACAGCCATATAACCTATAATTCACTTTTTCTAGAGCATCCCATTCGGCCTCTGAGTCATGCGCGTAGTAACATTGACTAGCATGTCGTCAAGATTGTATCCGTCGCAGTATTTTTAGCGTCAACAAGTGCGAGATTTACGGTTTGTAGTTATGTAAAATCTTTTACAGCCTGACCAAACCAACCTCTGCACGAGAAATTTGCCAGTGTTTTCATTCCATATAATTATGTGTATATATTATATTATGTGTTATATTATTCCATATAATATGTGTGTATTGCACACGACATCCATCTTTGGCGTCCATCCCGGATTTGCGAAAGCAAAAAACGCAAGGCACGACCAATTGTTATAGCTTACTTCATTCCGTGTGGAGATTAGTGCCCAAAAAGGCAAACAAAAAACTAAAGAAAACACGAAACACCTACCTGAAGGTGTGTCTACTCCTGGAAGACAGGATGGGAACGCCAAAAATTGACATTGTACGCAATGACACACATAATCATATAGAATGTCTTGACTGTACGGTGTTGAGGTCATATACACACAAGATTTTTGGAGTTAGCGTAAAAGCAGTTCTATTAAGTGTCAAAGAAATTCTGATTGGGTTACCTAACAGATTATTTTTTGTGGATTAATTGGCTCGTTTTGTCTGTAATTTTTTGATGGTATATGCACAAGAGTTGCGTTTTTGGACAATTTCTGCAAAAAATTCATTTTTGATTTAAAGCTTGAATAAGGCGATGGTACCGAAATGAAAGCCCTGCAAAAAGGTCTCCATTTACCAGTTTCAGCGCTTTTGCTCAAATGCTAAAAAGTTAAATATTCAAGGTGGCAAAATTTATAAAAAATAGATACTAAGATTCAGTTTAATTTGACTTGATCAAATATTGCGTGCATTTGTGACCTTAGCAGCTATAACAATGGTCATTATCTTATGTAATCATAAATGGAACATGTTGAACATCATTTGGCTATTTCTTTTTGTCAAAACTTTGATTTTCAAGTCTGAAATTCTTGCAGCGCTTTGAGACGGGGATTTCAATATGACCATTAGTTGTAAAATTCCCCTTGATTTATCTGCCCCGTGAATAGCAAGTTTGAGTCGCAAGAACTGATCTGTGGACTTTATGTAGAGTTTTTGTGGAAAAACACTTAGTCATTTCATTACACATTTCAAGACTGTGTAATTTATCAAAGCCGAAGATCTCTGCGACACCAAAATTGCTGTAAAGCTGTGGGTTGAAGATCTGCCTTGCACTTTCTTCACATCATTCATCTAAATCATGATTTCGCTTTGGCAGCAAGGTCGCGAAAGTCTGCAAGAATCTATCGAGAGTCTAAATTAACTTGGAATGTTTACTCAGTGCTGTACTCCCGATATCCAGAATTTTATGGCTTCTGCCCATCGAGTCGTACGAATTGCATTCAAAGGATAATCGTCCCACCGTAGAAAACAAGAAACGCAAGTTTGGATATCTTCTTTACAAGAGATTATCCTCAAAAGTCGAAAACGGAGAACAATTATCGGCTTCTATGGCTTTACGATTTTCAAGCTTACGACATTGGTTGCGGAATGCTTTTCCATTGCACTAATAAGTATAGGTATAGGTATAGGTTAGGGTGATAAATATAGGATACCCATGTAGCCTCTTTTTTCGGTTGTTGTTACTGGCTTATTCCGCTTCAACGGATCTTTATAAATGTAGCTCAGGTACCAAACGTTGCTGGAATTGCAATATGTAGGTTATTGTAGAAGTATTAGGTTGTGTAAGAAGTTCTGTCACATCTTTTCTTTCGATTTTTTCACAATGTTTTATCCGGCGTTTTGCAAAATGTATATATGCATTTGAAAGCCCTAAGCCTTTCTAGCAAAATCTCTAATTCAGTATCCTACAGCAGGGGAACTCGAACAGTTTTCCAACATTATTTGAGAAACCAAAGAGGAAAAAATCCATTCTCGACAACTACATTAGGTCGCCCCTGCTTAGGTCAGAATGCAGTTTAAGACTTCTCCAGCGATTTAGGAGTCCTGAGAAGTTTCGAAAATATTCTGTAAATCCGGAAAAAGTCTTTTTTCCAGCGTCTCTTCGACTTGAGCACACGAAGGCAGTCCTGAGAAAGGGGTAGACGGATAGTCCAGAAAAGGCAGAAAAGATGTCTTTGGCTACGAATTCACCGAATTCATAAGTTAATTACTCAAAAATTCGATGTTTGGGGTCACAAGCATAGGTACGCGGAACGAAGAACATTGCCGCTGCAAAGTCTTGCACCGCCGAATTTCAAAGAAATGGCACTGAAAAGTCGAAGCAAAAGTCGAAATACCTTAAAAGGTGAGATGCCCGCGAATGGGACGCGAAATTTTGACAGATACGTACATACCAATGGCGTACCCAGGATTTCCGCTCGGGGGGGGGGGGGGGGGCGCGACAAATTTTTTTTTCGAATGAAGGTGCGTGGCGTTAGCCACGCACTCCGAATAATTTTTAGGGGAGCTTCTCAAAATTTTTGTGGGTCCCCAACCCCTAAAATCCAAAAAAGGGGGCGTGGCGTCAGCGACGCCCCCGAAAAAATTTTTTTATAAGGCTAATTTGAATTTTTAAAAATTTTTAAAAATTATTCTAATTATTTACAAAGATAAACAAGTCGTTTGTACATTTTTATAACCCATATAAGTAACTTTCAAAAATTTCGCGACCCATTCTCGAGGGGGGGGCGCGCCTCCCCTCCACCCCCCCTCCCTCGGTACGCCAATGCTACATACGTTATGAAAATATGTAAGTGAATTATTCTTGATAATGATTATGAGAAAATTTTGAAAATCTTTAGAAACTCATATTAGACTTATGAAAAATTTCTTTTGAGTGGCTGTTGCCACGCCCTTTTTTCTAAAACTTCACTGCCAAGAGTCGGCAAAAATCCTGGGAAGCATCCCAGTAAATTTTTCGGAGTGCTGGCTAACGTCACTCACCTTTAATCCAAAAATTTTTTACCTCCACTCCCATCCTTTTTTCGGGGCGTCAGCCACGCCCCGAAAAAAAATTTTTTATGAGGCTAATTTGAACTTTTCCAAAATTTCAAAAATCATTTTAATTGTTTACAAAAATAAACAAGTCATTTGCACATTTTCATAACCCACGAGCGTAAATTTTGAAAAAAGTTAGGGGCTTCGCTATTGTCTGTTGTTCCGCGTCTCACCAACCACGGAAATGGGTGCACGATAGCTAGAGCTTTCTCACTTTTCAAATAGACTAACAAGTTCGTTAATACTGTAGTTTTCCAAATGGGCAATGGTTTCTGACTTGCTGAATTCGATCGGTACTTTTGGACATTTTTGTACAGATTTTTATGGTTTTTCTTTTTTCACGCGACCATAAATACTCAGGGATTCGCGCCGTGCGGGCGGTCCTCATTAAAGCTCCTCCGCCTGAGCGCACTGCATAGTTTTTGATGTACCGTGCGTGCGGCCAACAATAAAAATGCCGTGCAAGCGGAAGACAGTCTACCCGTTCGATCGGCACGCAATAAAATCGACCGTGCAAGCGGCAGGCAATGCGTCCGCACGATCGGCCAGCAATCACTTGATCGTACAAGCGGCAGGCAATCGCGCCGCGCAATCGGTACGCAATAAAACCGACCGTGCAAGCGGCAGGCAATGTGTCCGTTCGATCGGGCGGCAAACATTTGCCCGTGCAAGCGGCCAACAGTGACCTCTACCTTCGGCTCATTGTTTTCACACACTGTGAGCGTAAACGGTACCTGCATGAGATACGACGCAGCGTTTAGGCTGGCTAAGCGTCGACTATCGTGTTGTCAACATTTCCCTTCACCGCAAAGCTGGAATGAACCTGCGTGAGGCTACAGTTATCAAGAGTGATGGTGTGGGCTTCTCCATGGAAAGTTTGGGTAGTGCGGCAGGCATCAGTCCGTGTTCGCAGGATGTAATGCTTAACATACCTAAGAAAAATGGTTAAAATACCCCATATAAACCTACTCCAGCAGCAAGCGAGCGGCCGACCTTCCCCGCGCAAGCGGCGAGCATTAGAAACCGTGCGGGCGCCCCACGTTAACCGTGCTAGCGGCCCTTGACGACCGTACAATCGCACACACCAACGAGCGATTGTAAGTTCATCGCTGGCCGCCCGCACGGTGCGAGCCCCTGAGTAGTCACAACTTGCACCGTCATGATTTATGTGAGAGACTCTAACGATCTGGTTTAGTAACTTCTCAAGTTCTATTTGAAACATTCCCTCATCCCGTTCTACATTTCTTATGCATCCGACTAGATCGCGCTATTTTCAGCAATAGTTTTTTCACTTGCACTATTATTACTCCACTAAACCGGGCCAATGCCGCGGGACTTGACAGATGCAGGCGGTATAAGTAGTTTACTTCAAAGAAAAGCTCAAGAGGACTAGACTTCCAAGAAAACAACGTAATGCTCTCGAGATATGTCATGGATCAGACAGCACATTATTTTTTGTGAAGAAGCACATGTGCTACCACACTGCATATGACACATGGGCGAAGTATGGAAAAAACCGGCAAGCTGCTATGAACTGCGTCATCAAAGACAGTCTACTGCTGAGAAAAATGACTGCTCCTTGCTGGACCACAGCTTGCATTTGATTGGGATTGTTTATTTCGGTTTAGATTTGTGGCGTACTTTGTTGAGGCTAAAAATTAACTTTCAAGCACTAGATCTTTTTGAAGATTTTTATTGATCAAGTGGCTAGAAAACGATAAAAACCCCATTTGCACTTTCTTTTTTCCTCTCGGATATTATTCTCTACTCATATCAGGTTCCGTCGCGCAGAAAGCAACGATGTTTCGACTTCCGCTCCAAATCGGATTTCTTGGACAATGAAGAACCTCGATCTTGGGTATGTATTCTTAGTTCAGTAACTGTACGTCATAATAAATAATAAAATAGACTTAAATAAATTCACTTCTTTGTACTTTTGGCAAACTTGAGCAATTTGAAGACTCAAAAGCGAGTAAAGGGACGTTCAATACAATTTGAAATCCACTCTCAATCAAGCACGGTCATGATACTTTGAAGAAATTCAGTTTGCTTTTGCTATCAAATGCGAAAAGTGACACACGGCAATTTCTCGCCATTCTTTCCCATGAGGCAAAAAATAAGATATGTAGCCTTGGAGTAAACTATAACTTGACTTTGATTTACTGTTATATTCTATTCATGCAAAGAATGCAGCTGTGAACCAGAAAATGTAAGTGTTAGCAATACTTTTTCTCTAAATCTCTAAGTCCAATTATTATCTGAGGCTTTCATCAGAATTTTGAGTCTTTCATTGCTTCCGAGTCCAAACGATTACTTGGTGCCATATAAGTTCAGCAGTAGGGTTCTCTCCATTATTGCTCGCTGAAAAAATTATCCGGTTCAGACGTTTACCCTTTTCGGTTCACTTCCTTCACATCGTTCTCTGACACCGTGTCTTGTTGTAATCCATTCAAAAAAAAAACCAGGATAGGCTAGTTTCATACACTAGCAAGGCTAACACTTTCACTTTTCGACTTTAGCCAAGACACTTGGATTGAGAAATGCAAAAAAAAACAACAGCAAAAACGAAGATTATTGACGTTACAATGTTCGCTGTTATCCAATGAGTGCTAAACTAATTTCAACAGCAAAAACGAAGATTATTGACGTTACAATATTCGCTGTTATCCAATGAGTGCTAAACTATCTTTTAGGTGAGAAGCAAAGTTGTAAAATTACTTTCGACTTGTTTCAGATTCATCGGCGACTTGAGTGGGGCTGTAAATATCGTGGTCCCGCTCAATCTTACTGGTCAGGCTGAAGTGCAGGCGGAAGGACTGTCCGTGCATCTCGACAGTTCGGCTAGTTGTCATTCACGCTTATCCAAAGAAATCAAAGATGTTAATTGCTAAGTGCACTCTTCGATGAAAGACACTTCGAAGAATTGCAAGAATTGCAAGAGGACTAGTTAGGAGACGTAGAAGCTTTCCAAAATGGAGAAAAAACTATGAGAAAGAATTGAATGGAGTTTATAGTATGTGCACTTGTAGATAACTCCGAAGTGATTCACACTTCTCGATTCTACCCAATTACTGAGCTTTTATTTTGGTACTGCTTCTTTTCCTTATGCGGTTGTTGAAAACATCATGAAAGCTAGATAGTTTATCTAGCTAGATAGTGAAAGCTAGATTTTCTTACTTTCTGTAAAAATCGTTAAAGCGCAAGCCTAACAAAACCTTTTTCACAGTTTAAGCTTACTACAACATCACGCTTCTAGACTTCCAAAAAGAAAAGGTATTCGGAAGGTGTTCGTTCCTTGCAAGGGCTGTATGCAAGCCGTAAAAACGCAATTTACAATCAGTGGGCACCCAAATCTCCATTCCGCATTTCATTTGATTACACCATCTGACACATTTTTTGGGTTTACAACATCGAACAGACGAATAAGGTTTTTCCCATCGCTATCCGAGCAGGGTATCAGTCACGCCCTTTAAAGATTTGTTAGGATGCTTTAGAAAATTTCAACGGGCCTGAACCCACTGTTCTTCAAAAAAATTTCCAAGTTTATCGCCTATGGATTTGTAAGAGTCATTTCAATTATTCACAGATGAATGCAAATCACATGCGCATGTATGATCGTAGCAAGTCCCACAAATTTCGAAGGGGGGGGGGGGGATTTTGGGACATAGAGCCCTCAGAATGGCTTGCGAAATATTTGTAAGTGGTGTGCATGAGATAAGATTATGCAAAGAACTTACCTCCTATCTTTACTAACGTGTTTTATGAAATTACCAAATCAAACTAGTTTCATATTTTGGGGCTACAAGCTTGTGAGATATTTTCGGAAGTTAACAAACTTTCCCAGAAGGTGTGAGTCACTTCACAGTCTTCAGTTTATGATAATTCTATCGCCCCCCCCCCTTTCCTTCAATAAAAATTTCTGAGTACCGGTGCTATTCGAGTATGCCGTTTACTTTTATATCCTTTAGTGTTATTTTCTGGTACGTGAAATTTTGAAAGGATAATGTATTGAGCTTTCCTTTCAGAAATAAACTGACACAAACATTTCAGATTGAACGCGGAGTAAACGGTTCCGCGCATGTCAGCACAATCTCCTGTCACTCTACGATACGAGCCGTTGATGTCATCAACCACAATGGAGGTCTTTTCGGTCTGGCAGTCACAGTTTTCAAAGTGAGCCAAATGTGCTTCTTTTTATTTCGTAAGTCTTGCATATGACGGCTGTTTTGCGACATGCGCCATTATCAGTGAAGCCAAGCGGAAAGCTCGATTCCGTATCGAAAACATCTATTAATCTTCAGCCCCGGTGCGCGTTCAGGTTTAGACTGTAATGCTTAGCCGCGTTTGGCAGAGATGCGAAGATAAATGGTTCAAGAAGTTTTGATCAAAAGGGCAAGGAGTGATTGATCTGAAGCCAAACTCGAATTTCAGCAAGGGGTCTCGGATAATGTTCGGTTGCTGTTGCAAGGGTTGATTTGCAAAAAAGTGCGAAAATATCTTGATGAGGACCTCAACCAAAAGGTAATTTAAATGCCAGTCAGAGCATAGTACGAATTTTTATGCCAATATTTCAGCTCGCTGAGGTGCAAACCAGAAGTCCATTGACCGAAGCGATTGAAGCAAATGCTATACGCTCTACCAGACTAACAAGCAGCTCAGGTGGAATCACCTTGGGCAGTATAATGGGAAAGGTTTGTCACCAACACTTACTCAATCAACCAATCAATCCTAATTGTAGAATTTTTCAGAGCTTCTCCAAAGACTTTTACATCGACTTCAGGTACGATAAAAGATTCCTGGATTATCACACCTTCGAAAAAAATCTTTCTTCTTAGACTGCGAGAAGATCCACACTGCAGTATGAATACGGTTGATCTCGCCTGTGCAGGAGAGATTTCCTACAAAGGCGAGGGTGGAACACCTTTTGGACCACCACCTATTCAGTGGCTCCATCCACAGACGGATTCACACATGATCATGCTCCAGATCTCCGACTATTTACCAAACTCGCTGTTCTACCACGCTCATAAGTTTGTCAAGATATCACATATCACTTATTTACCGGAAAAATGCCTTTTTTGCTTCCTTCACGAATGACTTCGACATATAGTAGCGGTTCGGGCATAGAATCTCTTATATGTAGGTTTTTTTCCAGCCGGGGCGATTAGAATTCTTGCACCATTCAAAGACTTAACAATGCATTCGATATAAATGTCGCTAAATGAGCTATTCAAACTCTTTTTTGCATTACTATGACATTGCGAGCAAGCAAATTAGATTTTATGGAATTGTATCGAAAAAAGTGCTATTTGTGCAGATTTTCCTGTTGATTTGGAAGGTTTTTGCATCGTGATCAACCTAAAAACTCAGAAGAAATTATAAGAATGTGCACCTTTGTTTGTTTGACATCAGTAACTTATTAGGGTGTCTTGTGATCTTTTTAACCGTTTTTTTTTTGCTGCAACCATTACCTTTTTGTATTATTCTTTCTTTAGTTGATGCGACTTGGCTAACCATTCGGCAGAGCAAACAAGCTCTACAAGATGGCTTTCGAGTGCCTGCCAAAATCGTAGTTCACATAAAGTTCGAAGCTGATAATTGATAGTGTTTGATAGTAGAAAACGAAATTACGCCAAAATCATATCTCCGTCTCAAAACAACTTGAAAATTCCTTATTCAGCTCTATCATATGCTTAACCATCGAACATTCAACTATAGCTTTCAGTATTTTTATGGCTATAAATAAAGAAAAACTGATTGGAGTAAAATGGCAAACTTTGCCCTTAGATGTCGTAAGTTAGTCTCATACACATAATTAAGTATCTCATAATTCATAAGTACGACCATAAGTTTGTAGCCTTTGCGCCCCAGTTCTCGAGAAATGTTGGTTTAAAAAAACGTAAAAAATTATGAGACAGCCTAATATATTAATCCACTTTATGTTAATATCAAGCAAATATCGTGAAGACACGACTAAATCAATCAAACAATCGCTGATATGTAAAAGTCCGTAAAAATTGCTGAGTCGTAGTGATATGAGTGAATATAATTTTTTATAATTTTCTTTTATAATTTTTCACAGTTTTCTTCTCATATTGTCGCATTTTTGAAAATACAGAAAAAAGATAATTTACTACCATTTAGTTTAATTCACAATTTTCTTCTGCATACTGTGGTCGCATGTCAATTTTTTGTTCAAAAATTCAAGCATCCACAAATACCATTCTATAAAAAAACATATTTTAGACAACGACTGATTCGCCTGCATCTTACACCAGCCACAGAAGGAGTGTCACAGTTTCTGCGGACATCCTGTGAGGGATCTTTTTGCCTAGCAGATCTCGTGCCGCAGTTGGCTGAGACATATCCGAACCACACTTTGGAGCTCTCATTGGCAGCAACAAGAGCGCCTGCTATTTTGTTTTCGGAGAAGAAAGGAGGTAATGCTACCCTATCTGCACAATCTCGAACTCTATCATAATCAAAAAATAATTGAAGTAAATCACCATTTGAATGGAACAGTTTTTCCCATACTGCTCCGAAACTCCCCTATACAACGCAGCAGATTTACAAGCTTTCATCGAGTATTATTCTACATTAGGCAGTAAATGTGTTTCTGAATAACAAAACCCCTATTAGGCGTCATCTCTGTCAACCTCGGCGGAGTAATTGTTGTTTTTGTCTCGGACGGATTTCGACGTAAACAAGCGGCAGTTCTCGACATGGACGTCGTTGCCGATGCTAAATTGAATCTGCAAGTGAGTTCAAAGCTCAAATGCTGCTAGTCTATGGTTAAAACACCTGCGCTATAGAACCACAACGTCAGCGGAAGTGTGGAGCTGACTAAGTTCGAACTAACGAGCCGTACAGCTGCGGTGAAAATTTCTCAAGAAGAGTTGTCGGATATAGCAATATTGGTCTCGCAAATGGTGGAAAACATGATCAATGAGATGCTAGCAAATGGGTTTCCTCTGCCTTTACCTCATGGTGAGCCTCTCAACAGTGAAAACTTTTTTCTTATGATCACAATCTATTGGGAGCAAAAAGCAATTGCCTAACTTTACAATACGTATTGGTGACGAGCGCAGGGGGAGGGCATTAGAGCGCATCAGTAATGTTTTGAGGATCCTTTTCTTTAGTAGAGGAATGAAAAAGTATCATTTGCAGAGAAAATAATAGCAATGTGGAAGGAATTATGAATCCTAATTTCAGCCAAAGACTTTTTATCAAGATTTTCCAGATTATAAGCATGGTGAGAATTTTTTTTTTGAAATCCTTTCTTTCTAAAGTTTATGCTCCCCTCTTTATGCTCCCCACGAAGAACATTTCTTCAATACACATTTCTCTTCAGTTCAATGTTCATGGATACATGCAAATGCCTCAAGCATGTTTATGAGCTTCATAAATTTCGGCATTTTTAGTATTGGGCCTGAAAAACGTCTCTGTCGACATTCTTACCAGAAGAATATTGATAAGAACGGACGTAGAGGTGAGAAATTTGATGTCACTAAATTTAGCATCCATATGATTATATATGTAGTTTTATCTCTCCGGAATTTTTTGCCCCTTCGAATAATTGACACTGGAATATTTAGATGGACGAAAAACGATTATCCCGTTTGGCTGCCAAAACGCTCTTCAACGGTCCACAGTTTTCGGTGCAAGATGAAAATGCTTTCAAAGGCTTCGAAAGGATCACGCCAGTAACAAGACCACCTAGCCATGAGCTGGTGCCAGTGTCTGCGAGACCAGCAGAACACGTACCCATCAGACCCGAACCCGTGCTGAGGCCCGTGTTCTACAGAAATCGGCGTTACATCGCTCCACCGTACGTCCGTCCCCTTCGACGTAGAGCATATAGCAACAACTGATCTTTTTAACTACTTCTCAGAATCTCATCAACCTACTCGACTTTCTAATGATGTCTTTTACACGCGTAACGGGTCGCCATATTTGACATTGCTAGTCGGTTCTGCTTCTCTCTACTTGAGAAGTTTTGTACATTTTGGCAAGAATTATGTGGAACCCACTGATTTCGTATTGTCCATATTATCAAAAATATGTATGTACAAGTTTTGCTATAGTGGCTCATAGATGTCTTTCATTTATTGAATACAGTGGGATATTTATCACAATAAATTCAACAACTCATTAGTATTCAAAAATTGTCTTATTCCTCTGGTGCTGGTCCAACCAATGTCTCGTCATACTCAAGATCCGGACGCCCAGGATGATGCTGTTTCACTTCATGCTGGAAAACAAACAAAAACTTTGTATCGTAGGTGAAATTTAGTGATTTTAAGCAAAATTTGATTGAGCGAAGATGAAAATTTTTGGAATTTTTTTTTGAAAACTTTTTATTTCACATAATAAGTCTGCTCAAAATGCGTTCAAAATGTACCGCTTTAGAATTGGGAATTTATGGGAACTTCCGACTGAAATTTTGTTTCAGAATAAAAGGTTCCCATAGGACTTGCGAATTCGGAAATAGTTAGTTCCTATTTATTTGGAGGAGGAGAAGTAGTACTGAAGGTTCACCGCCTTTACAATCTATTGGCTGTTAGCAGCCTTCACCTTGAATTTACAGTAAATTAGATTCATGGTTTTTTGCATGCTACATATTTACGAAACTAAAGGTTAGATTTGGTTTACATAAACTAGATGAACTCTATCTTTGTCGCTTAACTAATAGCTTATTTGATCTAGATTTCAGCCGAAAGAACAGTTCCAGTTTAAAAGTCATTTCTCAAATTTTCATACCAGAGGCATAAAATTCCAAGCTATGTTGAGCTCTACACCTTCTGAGAAGAGAATTTTTTTATCCTCGAATCAAGCTTGACTCTCAAAAAATTAAATGTGCCTACCCTTTCCTCAGGAGGAACGCTATCTTCTGTATATTTCGAGTAGTCAGGAGTAACATCCTCTTCTTTCACGTCCTCATTCTGCTCATTCTCGTGCTCGTCTCTGTCGCTCATCTTATTGCTAAAAACGCTCGTTTTTCTCATATATAATAAGGTGACATTTATATCAGTGACAAGGTTGAAATAAGTTTAGGAAAGCAACCACGGAAGTGTGCAACGCAAAAAAGAATGACTGAAATAGTAGGCGTGGCTACTATGACTAGCTATAAAGAGACGAACTCACAAATGGGTTTTGGTCGCTATGGTAATGAGAATACACATTATTATCGCGGCTTCGTTGCACTCGACGTGGCAGAATATAGCGAGAGGTGAAAATGAGTTCTGAGTACGCTAATACTAATATTAGATCTTTGGAAAAAATTAGAACTTGCCAAGGTCCATAGAACTTTATTAGTTACAAGTATATCGGGTATATCATTATATAGTAAGGCACTGGTATATCAACCGTGGGTTCTTGAGCTTCCTGCCCCCAAAAAAAACTCCTGCTCTTGCGAAGTTGGAAGCCAAGCCATTGAGAGGGCTAATTAGAGCAAGCCAATAGTAAATATCTCCACCCCACTTTTTGAGCGTGACAGACTCTTTCATCGGACAAATCATATACCATTTAAAAGCTTAGGAAATGAGGATTTTAACTATGCCATCAGCTTTCCCTAGCTCCTCACTATTGAGGAGTGCTGCAATTTTCCAAAAAATATGTGTATCCTCTGCAGCGAACCTGCCCACCAACTGCTTTATAAAGGAAGGCTAGGCAAACAAGTAGACAGCCGACTTTTCTACAGCTTTCATCATCGTTGCGAAAACTAAGCCCAAAGTGAATACACAATATCAAATGATGTAGGCTGACAAATTTCCATATTTGCCTGCTTAGTAGAGCTATTAGGTTATTCGGAATATTTTTTCGTTTTCGCAACTTTAAATCCAAACGAGCACAACTTTTCCAGATTCAACTTTTTTTTCCACCAAATAGCTTTCATTGTGTTCAGTAAATTTCTGGTAACATTCTTGTAGTGCTCGTGTGCTTTTTTCTTGCGAAATCATCTTACAATTAGAGGAATCAATAGGACCTAAAAAGTCGTTTTTGACAAGCTAATTTTTATTTCTAATAATTTTTATTAGGCATTGAGGAATTGGAGAATTCGGTGACTGTAGAGGAAGGTCCAGAGAGTTTAAAAAATAAACATGAACCTCGGTGCGCAGTCAACCCCTTTTGTGACAGCCACTTTTCTTATATGTAGTTTGACGGCGTCCTGGGCGAGGATGGCACCTTTTATAGATTACACGTGGAAGTCTGCTCAGTTTTGAAATTTTGACAAACGGTCTCTAGAACCTCCAAGTTCGGCCTTCTACGAATCTTGGCATAATTTGAATATCTTCTGTTTTGTTGTTGAACGGCGGCCAAGATTGGTATGGTAACAATTTTACTTGGCTAACATTTCGGTGCCAACGCCGTCGTCAGAGCCCATAACCAAAAACGTATGTGTGGAGTACTTGCTGAGCTTTCATTACCGTAACGATTCAACTGAGTTGAGCACGAGACTAGCAAAGAGCTAGAACATGCCTTACCTTATTCGACGCCAGTCGAGGGATTTGATCGCTCGTAGTCAAGCTGTGCACAAAGTGATGATACGTTGCTCTCCATGCTGTTTATATTTTGGTAACCAATACCGCAGAGGCTTTGATGCGGTGATAACTCTTTGATTACAGTAATGCACCCGTCCTTTTTATTCATTTTGGGGTTACGTGACGTAATCCAAAATGCTTCGAGTGTCTTGCGTGGGATAGTTCCTTGTTCGTATGACAAGATTGTGGCAGCAATATCAAAAGGCATATTATCGTGCGACACTCTGCTACGTGCTCTTAAAGAAGTGGATGCTTTGTGTTTTGGATGTCCAACCAAGTGCTCTTTGATCCGTAGACACAATGGTCGCCCGGTTTCACCCTACATATTCTTCACCGCATACTCAACAGGTAATGAGATAGACGACCCCGCATTTTAGGCAATCACCTGGTCTTCCAAACGGACATACTACGCAATTTGATGTTGAGCAAATATTGTCATATGCGCGATTTCGAATTAACTGCTTCTTAAGATTGGGAGGAGGGATGTCTACAATCCGTACATAGTCTTGCAAGCCTGCTTGATGTAAACTCCTCCTAACAGCTTTGCTAAAGTCGTCCGCTACGAAAGGTATACAAAAAGAGCTTTTTTGGGTGTCTTTCTCATGCGGTGTGCATCTAGTCGACAAATTACTATTAAAGCAACTCATTTGCAAATATCCATTGGATTGTGCAATTTCTTTAGCCAACTTTAAAGATGCCGTACGTTCTTTAACGCCAAACGAGATCTTTTTAGCTATTTTGAATATATCATGCAATAAGATCTCTTCATGTTTCGTGGATGTGCTGAACTATAGTGTACTAAAATATCTTTGTTGGTAGGATTTCGGTACCACTTGGTTTTCCCATTCCGTTGCGTAAATGCACCTCAACATTCAGGAAAGCTAGCCAGTTTTGACTAGGCTTTTCGCTAGCGAATTATACTTGGCGATTGCGCATTCAGAATGTCGAAACATGGATCAACTTTGTTTCGGGTGGCGCATACAATGTAGCAATCATCAATGTACCTGCAGTACAAGAGAGGTTTACGCGCTAGCACCGGATTTTCTACTTTCGACATAAAAATTATCGCTACTATGGGTGCCAATCTTTTTCCCATGGATAAACCTTTAATTTGCTTAAGTACTGGCCACCAACGGAATATGGAGCAATTCAAGCACTCATACAGCAATATCATCATTTGTCTTTTGTTGAAGCCATACATACAGGGTGTCCCAAAAAATGTATCGACCGTTTGATCGTTAATATCTCTCTTCTAAAGAAGTCTCTTCCCTTGCTTCAGGTACCAGTCTGTAGAGCTGGCTTCAACTTAGATTTGCATTATAGAACGAATCCCTCATCACTCTTCATTACTGTAGGATTACGGTAGAAACTTCAAAGAGGGTTTCAAGCAATGAAACGCCATATTTTACCCCAGAAAGGAAACAAAACAGCCTGAAAACTTTTACACTAGGCTAACTAGAGTTGCTGATTATAACTGTATAGTTTCCAATTTATTATGATGCTTCATTGAAGAGTTATGCCAGGTAAGAGGTAGCGGCCATTTTTTCAATGTTCCTAAAAGTGCGGTTACACCCCTTAGAAAGCTTCGTAATCTTGTGAATAGCTGAGTATTGAACTCAGCGTCCATAAAAATTCCAACACACAAGTTTTCACATTTTTTTGAAAAATTTTGAAACGGCAGCTTTTTCCACATTGACACCATATGTTTCAAGTTTCTACCGTAATCCTACAGCAATGAAGAGAGATGGGTGATTCGTTCTATAATGCAAAACTAAGCTGAAGCCACCTCTACAAAACGGTACCTGAAGCAAGGCAAAAGACTTCTCGGGAAGAGAGATGTTAACGATCAAACGTTCAATACATTTTTTTGGGACACCCTATATTAAGCGAGCTGTAGTATTCGCATAGAAGTTCGTATACTGCTTGCATAGCATCCGTATTGGAGACGTTGGTGTAGAGGGAAGTGACGTCGAAAGACTCTAAAGTCTCGGTCTTTAGAGCGATATCTACTATTCTGCTCTTGCATTACTATCACATCTCAGAAGTTTATAGCGTGCAAGACGAGCAGAATTATGTTAATTTGAGTACATCAACCTTTAGGAATGACTGACTGTTCATGACCAGGCTTGCAATGCTTGTCCCAAATGATTTACCACATTGTTGCTTCTTTTAGCCGTACTTGGCCAACTTGTTGCCTTAATTATCAACCCAGGCCAAAAAAGAATTGCTCCTTCAAATTATGAGAAACGAAAGTAGAGTCAACGCTTCCTCAATCTACGAGTGCGACATGTGAAGTGCATGCAACTGATATTTTTCGGTAGTGCAGTTTTAGCGATGTTGATTTCTAATGGCGCTATATGACACTCCAAGGCCTGCTCATAATATTATGCAGCTATAGTTCCAATTTACTTTAAAGACCCTTTGAGATGCTCGTTCATATGGCAGGAACACCTTTCGGCACACTGCAAAAACTTTCACTTCTCTAAATCTGGACTTGTTGAAGCAGACTTTGACCAACGTCAAGAAAGAGCGGCCTTAGCGAATGCATTGCGCACAATGATGGCTTTCTTGACTGCCTTACACTCAAGACTGAGCTTAGAGAATGCAATTATTCGAAAATCACGTTTTCGTATGTTGAATTTATAGCACGTGAACTTTCCTTCAGAGCATTTTTTGCAACTTCGGTGAGATCCTCAGAAACTACAAGACTTCCTCTACAATTCTATACATAGCAAGCCTATTAGCCCTCTGGCATCCTCTTGAAACATAGCACCAACATCAAAGGTGCAAAAAAGCGAAAAAACTTTTCGATTGACATAATAGAAAGAAGTGACGGTCTAGGTCGATCGCTTATGTTCCAAGCTTTTCAACGTTGATTAGTTGACGAAACACACAACTTTTCTGTATCAGAAAAATCCAGAGCGACCGCTTGATTCCGTAGATTATCGTGCGACTGTTCTTCAAAATAGATAGAGATAAGTGCTAAATACTTTGTGTAAACTTGTTTCTCTTCCTTTTGAACACAAGTTATGTTGATTTTACCAGCTATAATACGTTCTTCGATTTGCTTGGGATATCAGATGAGGAATGATGGAATCTGGAGGAACACAATAATCTTATAATTTGAAGCGAGTAATTTTCACCTACTATTGCTGTGAAACTCGCCTACAGTGCTGGCCATAGCTATAAAGCCACCCTAAAAATCACTGTAATTTGCTCTCTTTTGTTCGAAATTGTCTGAGAAACCACTAGTCTGTGTGCAAACTAACGTTGTATCATTGACCAGAACGGCTCCAAATTTCATTGGTTTTGGCCGGAGAAAATTGAAAAATTTGAAAAAAGGGATTCCCAAGGCTGGTCACAGCTATAAAGCCACCTCTCATTTCCAATCAGTACTATGTTTTATGAACCTGAAATTTTTTGTACTTATACAACATCAAAA